CATGAACACCATTCTTGCGAACAACAACAGGTTCACGACTCAAACGATCAAGGCTTTCAATAATTGGACGCAGATACGAGTCAAAGTCTTTCTTAGTGTCACCAAAAAGAATTGCAACTTGAAAAGTATATTCATCGGTGTATCTGCAAATGGTGTTATTACGACGTAAAAAGATTGGATGTATTGTATATAGAGCCAAAATTTACCTGATAGACGGATCAATGCTAGCAATTATAACGTGTACCATCACCATACTTTTTCTTGATACCTTCGAAGTGAACCCATCAACACATAGAACGATGGCTAAATCGTGCTGACCAGTGAAGAGACCTTTAGATTTCATTTCTTTATACGCGGCTCCAGAAAAAAAATCGGTATATGGATCATCGTCTGTCATGGAATCGATTACGTTTCGGTATTTTTCGACTTCATCACGAAACTCGTCACAAGCTAGCATACGACTTAAATGTTCACCAATATCAATCATTTTTACCACAGATTCTTTATGTCTAACAGCGTTACAGTGAGGACAAGCGGTTTTATCGGCATCATCGACAGGATCAAAGAGATAACACCCCTTTCGGGAACAGATTTCATGGCTTTGACTGAAAGAAAGTGGAAGTTTCTTCTTGATCAACGAACGACACTCCTTCAATGCGAGTACTTTTTTCTTTTTATCAAGGCCTAAAAGGTAAACTAAATTAGTAAATAATGATACTTTGTAAATACAAATCATTAACATACTGTTGTTTTGGTTCAAAGTGTTCTCAAAAAATTTCTTCATAACGCGCACAGCTTCTATGGTCATGTTTCTACTAAATGTAAGATAGTTGAACATAATACTACTCAGCTCGCTGGTGCTAAATACGTTAATGGGGACAATGATATCCTTGATGTTGTCCTGTATTGTTACATTATGATCAAGTGACAATGGTTCTAAAAGTGAAAATAATACATCCGGTAAGTTGTCATGATGTCAACAACTCGAGCATCCTTAGTTACCTTCGAAGTTCTCTTCGTCCGTGGATTCATACAAATCCTCGTCTACTTCACCGTCTACAACAAAACCATCATCAGAGGATTCATCTTCAGCATCTACGTCTTGTATGGACATTTGTCCAATTAAGGGAAGAGCGATTTGGTTATCGAGGTCAGCCATATCAACATCATCGTAAAAATCCATTTCTTCGTCATAGTCAAAAGGTGTACGGTTGGTTATTATAGCAGTTGGGAAGCCAGTAGATACTGAAGAGGATACAGCAAAAACAGAAGTGTCAGTTGGGCCAGGTATAATGGAGGCAGCAGTAACGGCCAAGGGTTCATATGTGCCTCTTAAAAGACGTTGGTTAGCGCCGTTTCGAGAAGCTCTAAGGTTCTTGGGTTTTTGAATTTTGGGGTAAACCATTTTGAAAAGTTTTTAAGAATTTTGTTTTTGGTAAGTCGGGAACCGATTTTTGCGCGTAGTTTTATACATGTTGCTACATCTTATTTACAGCTTATTAATAGTCACTGACCGTTCTTAGAACCAATTGGAATTACTCGTGAATTTATCTTATAATTATTAATAGAGAGGATATGGTAATTCTGTGTAGACTATGGATACCTTTCAAAACCACTAGAAATCGTTGTTTGGGACTTCAAGCTTGATCTATTGTTAGATTTTCGTGTAACGAGGTTATTAAGCGAAATTTTTTTTAATTCTGTACCGTGATTGGTGCAAATAAGTTGAACCACTTACATCAAGGTAAATGACAATGAAAAAAAAATGTATCTTTAAAACATCTATATAAGATCCAATACTTACACCTATTTTCTCATTTACATCGATTTTTCACTCTATTTATCACAATGAACGGTACCCAAAACTCAAATTCTCGAGACGAAGTCATTGAAAAACTCGTTAATGTCATTTACGATATGCAAAGAAAGCTTGATGCAATGCCTGCCACAATGAAAGAATATATCTACCTGCCAGTTGGTCAACACTGTGAATGCTGCAGCAAGGTTAAGAAAGTGGTCAAATCCAATGGTACTTCTGCAATTACTTCTCGATCTGGATATATCACTGGTACGTTTTTATTTTATTTTACTTTGTAAGACGAATTAAGTTAATAATTGCCCTATCTTTTCAGCAAGAAATTCCGCTGCTCAACAAATGTACGAATTCGTGGTCAAGGCTGTCGCCTATTACAAGGAGCAAGTTATACCCAATGGTATTCACACCTCTTGCAATTCTCTCGGTGTAAGATCCATCACCGTATGTACTTATACAAAGAAAACCGTTATAGACAAGGTTGCTGCGTACTGGAGATCTTTGGTAGGTACCTATACTGAGGATCAAGCTAAAGAAAGGGCGACAGCAGCTTACAACAATGTCTTCACCATTTGCCAACATTTCTTGAAAGCATTGTACCAAGAACGATTTGGAAAGAATGGTGTCATTTGGAGGGGGATTCCTGCAAACGAGCAGAATGAAGTATTGTATATGTTCGAAAGAATTGTATACTTTTGGAACAAGCGCTCTGGCTTGAACGTTGGTACACCCGTTGAGGCATATCCTGGAGACCTTATCTCTGTCATTGACGCCGAGAATCCTATGCTACCCATGCACCTCGCAGATAAAAACTGGATATCCAAAAATATGATCCAGATAATGTTGAGGAACTCAGCAAGAGTAAGTAAAGTTTAGATATCAAATTAAGAATTTTTAACATTAACATAAACCTCAACTCTAGCCAGATGACATTGCTCATGATACCTCGGGTTCATTTTTGACTGGCCTGGAAAACCTTGGTGTCAATTCGGGTACTGAAGAGAGGTACGAAGACTTGGATATGGGCCTGTTTGAAAATTTATTTTCGATCCCTGATAACAGACCTCTTGTACCATCGTCTTCTTCCGCTTCGGTACAAAATCCTGTTTTGACCTCTCTTCCTCCCTCTGAGATGCCTCCTCTCTCTGACTCGCCTCCTCCCACCTCTGACTCTCCTCCCACCTCTGACTCTCCTCCTCCCACCTCTGACTCTCCTCCTCCCACCTCTGCACCTGCCCTCTCCACCCCAAGTACTACCCGTCCAAAAGGTAAAAGAAAGGCTGATGAAATAGCATCTGGGACCAATAGTCGACCCTCAAGGGCTTTCCAAAAATAGAATTGAGCCTGAATTTTTTTTTTTCTTATTTAAACTCTGATTTTTTTATTATTTTTTTCTTTTTCTTTCTATTTCTTTCAAATAAAAACTAAACTTAAGGTTTGTATATGTGTATAGTTTGTGAATATATGATTTATCATAACCATTTGTTTACAAATGAAGATATAGTTATGTGACTAAACATTAAACGTGCTGACACTCTCCAAACGGATTAAACCAAGACTCTTTGCTTTAAAAGTAAATTTACTTACTCTTTTTATATGTATTAACACATTTGTATAGCTGAAGCCATCTCTACTTTCACCGCTTGTGAAAAGGTAAATATCTCGACTTTGGTTTATGTGTTCATTATTAGTTAACCCAAATTCCTAAAGCTAGCTACTATCGCTGTTTATTTGAGGCTCGTACATCCCACGGTTTTGTAAAGGTACACATTGCTAAACTTGATAATTTATTCTCTTATTAACGTAAACCATCTTTATGCAGGTAAGTGAATACTGCTGCTCTTCCGAGGTCTTCGTATGGTCATTATCGTAGTTCCTCTCATTATGTCTGTCTCTGGTCATATTTTACTGGTCATTTTCTATATTTGAAGAGGTCTATCATGATCAGATTCGACGTTATTTAGTTTTTTTTTATAAATAAAATTTTTTTTTTTCCAATATATACAAACGTATCAATTTTAAGCCTGTATCCTGATTTAGCAGGGGTGTAAAAGTAATATTATATCGATTATCGATTACCCCATTTTTTTTACCCCATCCAACGATATTTTTTTGTTTTTTTGATTTATGGATCGATATCGTCAATCGCGATATTTTGGAAAGTTTGATCGATATTGCCAATAACGATATTTTAGAAAGTTTGATCGATATCGCCAATCGCGATATTTTGGAAAATTTGATCGATATTGCCAATCGCGATATTTTGGAAAAATTTATCGATATCGCCAATCGCGATATTTTTAAAAAAAAGATCGTTATTTCCGCTCTAATTTGTTTGCGATATTTTTCAATTTTTGATCGCTGATTTATTTTAGGGTGAATATTTTAACTTTTTCTGATAAGTAAATGGATCATGATGTCAGGTCTTGTTTTTTTTGTGGTAATCTATATTTAGAAGTATTACCGCTAAAACCCACATCAATCTTATTGGACTTTAGATGATCTTTAGTTGGAGTCTCTTATGAAAGGCAATGATTGGTGAGGGCGCTACGAGAGGGGAATTGACTAGATCAAAAATTTGAAACCAGATACTTTCATTACGAAAGATCCGCCTACTTCCCCTGAAAACTTTGTGGTAATTTAATCAATTAATAGGATGTTTTTGAAAATTGTTGTAAGAGATCCAGTTTCAATCAACCCAAACGATCGACTGTGGGGTGTTGATAGTCGAAGAGCGAAAGAAAACGGGGAGGTAGATTGAGCATAAGGCTTCAATGGAAGCGGGATCCGAGAATTGGATATTTATCAACTAACCTTTCCACTATATTTATTACTTTCTTTCATCAGTAAGTAAGATCGTCTCGATGATTTTATCTTCTGGTTTAAAGGATAAAGAAAGTGTCTAAGCAAGTTTAAATAAAAGTATAGCATTGAGAGACAAACTCAAAAAGCAATATTGACTCAATTCACTACCGCCCTTGTTAACAACCTTTGAAATGCATAGCGATTTATCGAGTAAAGATTTACAAGAGACACTACTATCGATTGCTAAACCTTAATAGAACAATCTGCTTGGGCCCATGCCAGATCAGCCAGTACTAAATATGTCTGTTGATCCTGATGCAATATTTCTCTAGAAGACGCTCATGCAATTGAACACGATACATTTTTAGTTTAAAAGGTGTGTCGCAAACAAAAGACTGTTTTGTATCTAGCAAAGTTTTCCTTTAAATGAAACATATATGTAATTCTTCAACAAAGTCCTGCTAGACCATAGCTTTATTATTCTATAGACTACTACATGCCTGCTATGCTTGCGTTTAATCCCAAATCTATTAAAAATTCTTGTGAATATATATACAGTCTCTTCGTACCAGAGCACTCTTTGTTAATCTTGTTTTATTATACAATTATCGGTCTTCCGTAGATTTTAAGAACTTCGACAAAGGACTCATATTATCTGTACTATCTAGTTGTTCATTAAAGTAAAGATAATTCGAGTTCCTTAACTTTCGACGTTTCTTTGCCGTGCCGGATTGACTGTTATTGATAGTTCGATCTGGTGATTTTCTTATTATAGTTGCACCAAGTACAGGGGACCTATTTATGTCTTTATCGTTTTCTTCGACATCTACCTCAATAAATACTTCGGGCTTTATTTTCCTGGAAGGTTTCTTTAATTTTGCTTTAGTTGGATTAGAACTTCTTGTGACCCTAGCAATTTGTGAATCTGTGCTCAGTAATTTTTTCTCTGGTAGCGTTTCCTCTGGTAGCGTTTCCTCTGGTAGAGTTTCTTCTGGAAGAGTTTCCTTTGGTAAATTTTCTTCTGCTAGAGTTTCCTCTAGTAAAGTTTCCTCCAGTAAAGATTCTTTTGGTAAAATTTTCTCTGGTAAAGATTCCTCTGGTAAAGTTTCCTCTGGTAAAGTTTCCTCTGGTAAAGATTCCTCTGGTAAAGATTCTTCTGGTAAAGATTCCTCTGGTAAAGATTCCTTTGGTGAAGATTCCTCCGGTAGAGTTTCCCCTGGCAAGGTGTTCTCGGGTAAGGTTTTCTCTGGTGATGTTTCCTCTGACAAGGTTTCCACTGGTGAAGTTTCCATTGGCAAATCCTTTTCTGGTGAAATTTCCTCTGGCAAGGTTTCCTCAGGTGAAGTGTCCATTGGCAAAATTTCTGGTAAAGTCTCTCCTGGCAAAGTTTCCTTTGGCAAAGTTTCCTTTGGTAAAGTTTTCTCTGGCGACGGTGACCTCATTTCATCCATATCAAGATCCAAAGTATCTTTAAAAGCAGAGGGCGTAGGTCTGCGACGGGAATTTATCTTTGGTATAAACTTTGGTTTTTTCGCTCTAGTGGGTATAATTTCATCGGCACCTTGGTAATCTTTATCCATCTCAGCCATTTTTGCCTCTAATTCTTTCAATTTGGCATTTACTTTATTATCACATTCGGTTTTCAGCCTTCTATCATATATTTCTTGCATTTCAGTTAATTTTAAATTGAGACTGGTTTCCATATCTGTCAATCTAACATCAAGCTTGTTTTTGTAATCTTCTTTGGCCAACTTGGTATTGCTTTCCAGCTTTTCAGCATATATTTTCTCCATTTCCTCCATTTTTTCATTCAGTTTATTTTGGTAATCCTCAATCGTTTTCTTATACTTCGCCAGCTTTTGATTGGCTGATGCTACAACTTCCTTTAATTTCGCATTTTCATCCGTCAAACTTTCCAATTTATACTTTTCCAGTTCATCCACCGGCGGCGACTCTTTAAGCCTCATGAGTTTCATCTTTTCTACTTCTAATCGATGAGTAGCTTGAGCTAGCTTTAATTCAGACTCGTTGTATTGCTTTTGCAGATGATCATATTGCATATGCATCATCTTATTTTCTTGGCGCAAACTATCGAAATGAGTCATATTAAAATTTGCATCATTACTGGTATCTTCTATTTTTTTGACTAGTTGAGATATCTCTGCATGGTTCTTTTGTTGGTCTAGTTCGTGCTTTTCTATTAAAAGTCTGATGTAAGACTCGTGCTCTTCTTTCATAATCTGTAGATTTTTCAGAGCTTGTTCGTTTTTTCTAGTAATATTATTCTTAAGATCCAGTTCATCCGATAGTTCCACTAAGACACATTAGTCTTCCACATAAACACATACGGCCCAAAACTTACTTATTGTAGTTTGCAGATCTTGTATTTCAACATCACGTAAAATATCAGTTTGCTCTAACCTTCGCTGTAATAGACCCAATTCCTCTGTTCTATTATCATCAAATACTATAAGCTAATAAATGGTCAGGGTCTGTAATTACCATAAATTCGGTAACTTACTTTCTTGCGCTCAATTGCGATGCGTTCGTTATAATCAGAATGGGCATTTCGTGCTTTTGCCAATGATTGGGTTAGCTCCTCAATATTCTGGACTGATCTAGCCATTTGCATCTGATATATGTCAGTTGGGTGACAGGTTAAGTATCACATGTTGATGGCAACTTACTTTATAAAGTTTTTCGTTAATTTGGCTCTGAGTCGGATTGGGCAACATACGTACTGGGACATCTTTCAAACTGGTGACAAAGTCTAGTAAAAATCTTGTTTCTCTTGCTTGCATTTCGGTCGAAATAATGTCGTTGAGGTATGCAAAGATGACCAATTTGTTATGACCGGATATATATTTTGTCATCTCCTTGGTAAGAAAAGTGTTAGAGAGATCTATTTTCGCCGACTTGTCAGATGTGATGGTAGCCACGGCATTGCCTAATACAGGATAAGAAACATTTCGTTTTTAAACACTCCACATACTTACGAAGTTTCGAGAATGAATCGTATAATTTGTCATGCGTTTTCGTTAGTTGAGAAAATCGAGGATGTAATAAATCGATAAACACAAGCCGTCCAACTGTGTTTTCTTTCAAATTTCGTAATTTTATAGTGAGAATTGTTGGTATTGAGGAGTTCTTTTGAACTATTTTCACAACTTCCGCTAAATCGTCTACTTTTTTCATAAGGCCATCCATCCCCTTATTTAGCATATATTCATCTAATAATGTAATTAGGTTTCTCCATGCTATCTCTCTCTTTTTTTTTTAAAAAAAAAAAATGTTGACATACTTGTACGATTCATTTGTTTTCGAAAATCGTAACATCCATCGTCTTTCATACCGATAAAAGCATATTCGATTTCGTAGGTATGACCAAATGTGTTTAATTTGTGACCAAGCGTTTCTAAAATTCCATTCAGATTTTGCTGGCGTTGTCTGTACATATCGTTGCTATAACAAAAATGATCAATGTATTGTTTATGAAGGTGCAAGATATATCACTTACTTGACACTGATGGATAATAAAGCCACATCGAAACCTTCACAAGATATTAATTTTTAAGTACTTTTGTGTTGTGAAAATTCTGTACCTTCTAATGCATAGTCGACTAATTTCTTTCTTTCGTCTGTTGAGTCATTACCGTCTATTGCCCTTATTGATGTCATAACGTCGTTAACGCCCCATTTTAATCTATTTCGATAATTTGTCAGTTGTTGTGCAATTCCACAGTAATGTTACTTTAATTTTACGTTTGTTCCTCATCTGCTAAAGTAATTAGACCAAATGTTTATGAATAAAAAAGTTTTTCTTTCTTTTCCGTATGCGCAACTTGCCTTCTAAACTTAATTGGTATTCGTTGTCACGTTGTTCATACTTAAGTTCTTGGGTGTTGAAGTTGAACGAAGAAAATTCTAGTGTTTCTGATCGTGTTGAAGGTACAATGCAAGCAATCGTGGATATCGACGTGATCTCCATTTTTTATTGAAAATAAAAGAGGGCGGGTCAGCACCCCCTCTACGGTTTAAATGTCGGAAATAGAATTGCATTGTTACTTTCGAAATGTGACGGATTTTTGTCGAGCATACTTATATAATTAAGTAGTTAGTTAATTATTATTACTGATTGCAATCCAAGAAGAGTATGAGTGTTGTACCCTTGTTGTATTTGTTATTGAAAAACAGTACTTGTCATTCTCTCTATTATGATACACATGTTAAAACACCCCAGCGGTATAATGTCAGACTTCGTCTATATATTCATCTTATTGTACGCGTATAAGTTTGAGATCCTGTTAATATGAATGGTAAGCCAATTATAATGGAAGTGTTATTTAGGATACGACATTCAAAATGTAGCACTTATAGGTATGTGGCACTTTATTGTGTCTAGTCTGTCGGACCTTTAGTACCAAATATTATTGCAGCCTGTCTAATACTTTTAAAACCATGCCGTTTCGGTCCCAATGATTGTTCTAGATATAGATCTTCCAGCACATATCTAACAAGGTGAGCAGTAGTTCGTTGTAATTAAAAAAAAAAAGGTGGTAATTTCAGCTCTATGCCAAAGACTGCTGTTATGTACTCACATTTTTCAAAACAATGTCGTCAGTGCCACCTATGATTGTTTATACTTTTTTGTTGGCTGAAAAAATAAAACCTATTTTGTTTCAGCTTCTTTAGCTTTTTTTATTCTTATACTTCAACTTCAAATGGCAGCGGCTACAATACCTCGAGAAATTTTACTTGAAATATTGTCGAATGTAGACGGAAGGACCCTTACTCAATGTACTTATGTCTGCAAGAGTTGGAATCGACTAGCGTCAGAGAGTTTATTTAAAGAATTGTGTTTAGACACTTGTCACGTCTATAAAGTTAAACAGATTTTAGAAGGAGCCCCTAATAATCCAATCTACTTTAAACACTGCGCAAATGTAAAAAAATTAACTTTGAAAAACACGAATCGGGCCAATTTTTATGCAAGGCTCGAGAAATCCACTATCGATCCCATATACGCGTTTACTCAGGAGCAGCTGATAACACTTTTGGAGTATATGCCAAATCTTCAAACATTAAACTTGGAAACTTTCCACCGTGAAAAGTACTTGGAATTTATTCTTAAATCAAACTCAACACAGTGTTTAAATCATATTCAAGCTATAGTTTCTACCCAATCATGTAGCTACTCCAGCGCATACAGGTCTGAATTTTATTTTCCCGTTTGTTACAAGTACCGTGCAACTTTAATCGAGCTTGATCTTGAAGACCTGTATTCTGGATATCACTATGACAAGACTCTTACTCTTTTAAGCCATTTCATATCATTGAAGACTTTATGTTTGCGTAATCCTCTTGATGAATCTTTGACTATAGCTGACCTTTTGAAGGCTTCCCCAAATTTAGTCACACTTGATATCGACAGAAGAGTACATATTTTCAGACCTAGTGCAAGCACTGCTCCTTCATATTACCTCAATCAGAACAAATCTAAGAATACAGTCATAAAAAAACTAGTCTTGGCGATGCCTTCAGTACCAAAGGGAGAGATTATCTACATAAATGATTGCCTATCCACTCAATTGCAACATTTGATTGTGGACCTTGATACTGATTTAAATGAATGGATAGGAATAGTAGGCATAGAAAATGTCTTGAAACTTGTAAAACGAATGGGCACCATGAAACAGTCGGCCTTAACTTTTGGTAGTAGAACACAACCCATTCAGTCCAATATGACAAATTATTTCAAGGTTTTCAGCGCATTTAAACAAGACAATTTGACTTGCACGGCTGTATACGGTAAAAAGAGTGCCTTGCGTAATAAGTCTTTGTTTGAATATGGTTTACAAAAATGCGATTACTACCGCCAAACAGAGGATGGACAACGCGTGATTGAAATAGCCTTACCAGATACTAGTTATTCCACTATTGGGCCAAAAAATTTCAATGGTCTAACAATTGAATTAAACGAACCGGATTCAGAATTAGCACCTGCCTTTCTAAAATATGCAATGGTGAACTGTCCAGGACTTTGGAGATATGATTATATAAATTCAGCTAATTCGCATAGAATTCGAATTCAAGTCCGTAGAAACCCAGCCCAACCATACGTTATTGGAGACTTTACAAATGAAAAAGAAATGCTGACAGTTTTAGCTACTGGTAGTGTCATTCCATCCAAATTGATTATGGATCAAATTGCTTTTTGTTTACCGCATATCGAAATTTATTCCGTTAGCGAGGCATCTTATAGATGGTTAAATAATGTTAATCATCCAATCGATACTACTGCTTTCAAGAACTTGAAACGATTTTATCTGGATCTTGGTAGATTTTACGTTGGGGTTCATATCGAGTATACTGACGGAGATAAAACGCATTATCTTTTTGAAGACAGTTACCAGACTTTGAAAGAAACTAGTTCAAATGATCAAGAGAGAAGTTTTGATAATCAGATTATGGATAGAATATTTACTGCTAAGATCATTTGTAGCAAAGAGATTACACTTGTTTTCCGTCATACTAAAAATGTTGTAGTTGCAGAAATTCAAAATGGCCAACTTCGCGATTATATCAGCAAGAGCACAGACTATAATAACAAATGTTTTATGTTGGAGAAAAAAAACTATACGTATTCCCGATAAATAAACTTGATGACATAAAAAAAAAAAAAAAAAAAAAAAAAAATTAAAGAAATTAATCAAACTAGTATCTCTTAACATTGCATTTAGCACAATACATGCTCATTTAGGTTGCATTTGTTAAAATCTGTTATAATTTTAATTTTTTCCAGATATAATACACGTCAGAAAACACTCATAATAACTACAATTTTTTATAAAAAGGACGTAAATGGTAACAATCTGACAGTAATTTTTTCATTTTATCATGTAAAACATCACCTTCTTAAGAAGAAGACCGATTTTGTTGTTGTTGTCGAAGCCATACATCAAAAGAAGGAGCAGAAACTGATGTATTAGAAGGGGAAGTAAAGATTGAACGGCCTCTTCCCTGTTCATCATTAGTCTGAAACATTAGGTCGTGTGTGTTCCAACCTTGTTGATTTTTCATAGCATCATTTGTTGGCGGTGCGTCTATCACCGTTCTTTCTGTTATAGGAACACATGCCTTACTCGGATAAGTACTTAAAAATGCATTGTCGTTATTATTATTATTGTTCCATGAGCCGGATGAATTGGTAGATCCAGTTGTTGCCATTTGGCTATTTTGACAAGTGTTCACGACCTTTTGATGTATCGCATATAAATCACAAATCATTAAATACAGCTTATCGGACATAGCCCAGTATATTTTCATTTCCTAGTTTTATAGAATGTGAGCATGACAGCGAATGCTATTATGGCTGTTCGTTTACTCACCGACAAAAAGCGGAAATATTCTTTTAAAGCTGCCTCGGCTAGCTTATTTTCTTGAGCATTGTGTGTAAAGATATTATTTACAACAACAGTAGCTGTTGTATATACCGAGTAAGATATAAAAGGGGGCATCATTTCAATTTGACAGCATAAATCTTTAATCATGACTGTCACATCATTTGCTGCAGAAAGACATTTTTCTAGACTTTTATGCACCTTGGCATGTGTTTCTTGTGTAACCTGATTAAACCCGGGTAAATCTGCGACCACTAACGATGGCCGGTGTAATAGTACCACCAAAGAATTATGCAGGATGTGTCCCAATACATATTGTGTCGACCTCATGTTACTTGAATTTCTGTACCTTTCTAAATTGGCTGGCGTATTTTTTATCTGTAACGGTAGGTCTTTCACCCAGGCATCCAATGCGTTGTCTAATTCCTCAAATTCCAAATTGTTTTCATACATAGCGAAGGGTTTAGCGTCATCGTTTCCACTGTTAATAAAGTGTGACACTTTGCCGAGTAATACAGTTGCATGTAAAATATGTGAAGTCCAACCAACACGATTTAAGTATACGCGATGCTCTGCAAGATTTGTATCTAAAGGGTTCATCTGAATACCCGTAATCAAATTTGTCATTTCGTCCCTCACTATATGGTAATGAATTAACTTTTTTTTATCCAAAGATGCTTGATAGAAGTCGTTCCCGTTTGTGTTGTCTAATACATCAAGATCCACTGGTAGCATAATTTCACAATCTTTTGGGTCCAAGACAGATGGTTTGCCTGTAGCAGCACTTGTGAACTTATCGTGCATCAAAGTTTCCCAAAATACCTTTCTTCTAGTTTCATACCAGTACCATTTTTCCAGAGGAAGAAAAGGATTGGCTCCTTCTTCGAACACCTTCTCTTTGTGTAATCCAATCTCAATTGCCATCCTTATCGCAAGGCCTGTATACGTCCAGATCCTAGGCCCTCGTCCACACCCATACTCGTTCATGTCTAATATAATCAAACCTTGAACGTTTTCTATACTTGGATTATCAATGACTTGACTAATTAAAGCCCTAGCTTTCATTCCATATTTCTCTCCAGACATCCACAGTGGACTTTCAACAATATCCGCTCTTTTCGAGTATCTACTCATTATTGATATTTAATACCACTCATTTCCATCGCAGCAACTATTTTTACGTACCTCGCGGCAACAGCCATTATAGAATAAAGTAAAAACATATTGCATGTATTGTTTCGAACGGAGGATTTAAACCCTTCCACGTCAATTATCGGCGCGATCATAGCGCAGTGCTGGAAGTATGTATCAACTAAGTGTTGTATCACATCCGTGCTTGGTGCAATATCAGGAAGCGGTGCTTCTATATGAGGTTCGGGTCCTTGTGGAGCGGCTTGGTATTCTCGCAAAGGTTCTGTTGGTAAGCGATCGAGCTGTAAGTTACCGCTGCCCGCGTTTGTGGTCATTAGCTCTTCCATTTTCTTTAATCGCTGTTCCAATATTTCAATGTGACCCTGTCTCGGTCCTCTCTTCTTGTTTGAAGAAGAATAGCTGCATTCTTGGTCTTGCTTAAGACATTTTCCACACACAGGTTTAATTCCATCGCACTTGATCTATTATTAATCAGCATCAAAGAAAGTGATTATTAATCATTTTACTTTCGCAAATTTAAATTTTACAAAAGTGAATTTACTTTTTTTCGTCTACAAACGTTGCAAGCGAGCGAGAGTCTCTTTCTCTTTGCTTCATTTGCTTCGTTTGCTTCCATTTTCAAAATAAAAAGTAAAAAGTACCTTTTTTTTTTATTCCTGAAAGCTTGGGATATACATCGAACTCCGACATAACAGCTTGGTGTGGTGGCGATGCTTTAAAAAAAAAGGCTGTTAAAGATGTAACTTAATTCCTCCTTGTAGCAATCAAAATGGCTATGTCCAAAATATTTATCTTCACTATCTCACATTTTAAACAATGGGGTCTTTTACAGTGGTATGAATGCAGAGTTCCTTATAAATTTAAGCGAATCCTGGACAAACAAAATTAATAAGTTTACTAAATAAAAGTTTTTTTTATTGTAAGCTTTAACTAATATTATCCCTAAATGCATGTGTGATATGTGCTTGAATTGAAATTTGACTAGAGCAACTAAAAAAAGTTATGGCCTTTGCAACCAAAGCGTTTGTTGAATTTAACCCGTGGTAGGTGAAGAACAGCCAGTTGTTTGGAAGGCGAGTCATTCTATATCTTTGTGCTTCAAATGTCAGGTATAAAGTTAGGCAGACGATCACTTATTTAATAATATATACCAATTGTTTGACAAAGTCATTTTTATGTAAATCATTTGTATTTTGCAGCTCAAAAATAAGTAGATGTAGATAGAAATTAAATATAGAAAACAGATATAAGAGGAGACATCACGTAAATAGACATACAATTTAGACGTTGTGGTGATTGTACTCTAATTTTGCCGCTGACAGAAAATCTATTATTTGTGATACCTATGCCATTAAATATAGAAACTCTGTCAATTAATCTTCGCATGCTCTTTCTTTCCTTATAAAGACAGCATGAAAAAGAAGAAAAATTAAATTGCAATAAAAACGATAAATAGGAACTAAGTGATATGGAACATCTTATGTTGTATTATGAATCATTTTCCAAAAGTTTTTTCGATGAATACCATAAGACAGTCAACTATCAGGTTCCAACTGATTAAACCCCGGAGTTGCCTAAGTTTCTTCAATATCTAAAGACAACAATCTTGGTATGCAATACAGAAGGAGAAAGGAAAAAAATATGATCGATGATAAAAATGCAACGAATATCACTTTCCAACTAAAGGATCTATATGTTGTATTGCTGCATGAAAAACAAAAAAAGGACCAAGGACATTAGGAGAGCAGAGGGGGGAAACATGAGAAAGCAACATCTGATGAGAAAGGCTCATCTTCTTTTACTGATAAAAACAAGAGGGGTTTTTTTTCTTTAGCTGTGTCATCTTCACAGCCGATCGAATTTAAAGAGAGAGCTTCTGCTCCCCGGACATGGTTATGTGACATGCAAAAAACTAACTATTTCGAGAGAAGGATATGAGTCAAAGGAACTTTAGAAGAAATTAAAGCCCAAACTTGATACACAAATAACTTGACTAAGCGTTGTATTATTTACGAAGGCCTGCTTTGCAATAAATTTGTGCACATGGTGTAATCAATGGTTTCTTTCAAAAGGTACTATTCTTGCATCGAATCCTGTATATACTCCTCGACCATTCGAAGGTCCAGATAAGCCAATGCAAGATGTCTCGCATTATTATTTAGACAGGTGTAAGTACTTTCTAAACAAAAGGCTAAAAATCCCCACCATTGTGTTTGTTTTTTTATAGTTAACACCCACTTCTTCTTACAGCAATTATAGCGGATTACTTGGTCGTAATTTTTCCTTAATAAAATTTCCCAATTCAAAAGTTTCTTTTTTTCTTTTTTGGAAACGAACCATGCTACGTCAATAGGCCAAGTTTTTCTCCAAAAAATATATATTGGGTTTGGTTCCAAAGCTAGAATTCATTGGTTTTACCTCATAAACAGATGAAAATTGTTAATTTGTAAGAAATCATAAACAGTCATCACAATCGTAGTTATCATTTAAGTTTCCTGCAGGTCGTATGGTATAATCCGACCATCTTAATCTATTCTTCCTGGCCCAAGCACACCTGATTTGTGAAATGATTAGGGAGCGGGAAAACTATACCCCTGATCGGGAAGGCCATTCTGCGCTCTTTAAATCAAAGATATAAAGCTTACAATTAAATTAACGTTTTATCCCTCTTCTTGATATATTTTTAAAACCTAGAAACAACAAATGCCGTCTTTGGAAAAATCAATCAAAGGCAATAATTCAACTAATGATAGTATAACAGCCGGATCAACAAAAAGTGACATACAAGCGAAAGATGAAGACTCAATTACAGTCGACGAAGAGCAAGCCATATCTATCAATGAAAAAGAAGAGCCATATACGGTATTTTCAAAATCCAAGCTGATCCAGTTATTAATCATTACTTCTATGACTGGTATGCTATCACCTTTGACAGGGAGTATTTATTTTCCTTCTGTCAATCAAATCGAGGCAGTAAGCTTATCTAGGACATAAACAGTTTCAAGATTCATTAAAAAAAAAAAAAACTCCCTTTGCATAAAACAGGATCTCGGGATAACAACGGAACAAGTAAATTTAACAATTACAGTGTATATGGTTCTACAAGCTACATCACCTACTTTTTGGGGGACTTTGGCAGACAACTGGGGAAGAAGGCCTGTTCTTTTATTGACAATGGTAATTTATTGCGGTGCGTGCATAGGATTAGCATTATCACCAAATTATGCCGCCTTGATGGTGTTTCGTATGATACAAGCGTTTGGATCAAGTTCGGTCATTGCTATCAGTGCTGGTATACTCAGCGATATTGTCCAATCTAAAAAGTATGTGATATGATTTTTTTTCCTGTCAAACTTTATTAAAACTGACATAATGTTAGACGTGGATCATTTTATGGTTTTTACTCTCTTGGTCAATCACTTGGTCCAGTATTGGGACCTGTTATTGGCGGAATAATTTCTGAAAAACTGGGTTGGCGGTGGATCTTTTGGATTTTACTCATCCTTGGTTGCACAATTTTTATTTGCGTTGGACTTTTTGTGCCTGAAACCTTACGTTCATTAGTGGGCAATGGATCGGGCTACGCAAACCCTACACCAACGCAATGGCTAGCACGGCGTCGTGGTCTATTAGACGAAGATCAAATTGCAGCGAAAAAAACTGCAAGTAATCCTCGGCCCAAAATGAATTTCTTGGCTCCTTTTTCATATTTTGCCGAGCCAGATGTATTCCTGATTCTTTGGCTAAACGGCCTTGTATTTACTGTATTTTATTGTTTTATGACATCCACCACCAAGCAATATAGTATACATTATCCATATCTCTCCGAACTCGAAATAGGTATTTGCTTTTTGTCTATGGGTGTAGGCACCATTTCTGGCTCCTTTCTAAAGGGAAGATTGTTGGATTATGATTACCGTAGTGTAAGCAAGGAATTTAAGAGAGACTTTCCTGATAAACCCGATTCGGAATTCCCAATATTTGTAGCCCGCTTAAGATCTCTGTGGATCAATTTAATCTTGATGGAGGTGGCCACACTGATTTATGGTTGGATGTTTATTATTAATGCTCCTTTGCCCGTAGCTTTGGTTCTTCAATTTCTTTTTGCCATTAGCGCGTCGGGTATAATGACATCGTCACAAACACTATTAGTCGATTTGTTTCCGGGTAAAGGTGCCTCCATTACCGCGTCAAATAATTTGATGCGTTGTCTCCTTGGTGCTATGGCGACTGCCTACATTGGCCCGGGTATTGCAGGTGTAGGCATGGGATGGATGTTTACAATTTTGGGCCTTATTTTGGTAGCGAATAATGTATGCTTATTTATTTTGATAAAGAGAGGGCCTCAATGGAGAATGAATCGCACACAAAGGCAAAATGGCTCTCTAGCAAAATCAAGAAGTTTGTTCCGATGTATATGAATTAGTTGGAAATAATGTAAGAAAATTTCATCAATTCCTGTTATATGGATTGAATTGATATCTATAATTATTACAAACACTTTACATATCTTTAGTTTAATAAATCATCACCTCGATATCAGAGGTTGTACTGTATAATGCCAAAAATGTCAAACCCTGTATTTCTGCAATGTTGTGTAACCAATCCATTCCGATGGTCTCATTTGTTTGTTTGTGTTGTCTTGTTTTTTTTCTCCGTATTACATATCTAACTATACACCCTAAAATAAATCAGCAATCAAAATGTTTTTTTTGATCGATATTGGCGATATCGCTCAAAAAATCGAAAATATCGATATCTCCGATATTTTTGATTTTTTGATCGCTGATCGCAAAGCCAAATTTTCAAATCTCTATAAAAACAACCTATACATAAATAAATAGATGTAGCAATACCATGTTAATAGATAAACGTAATTTTTTAAAGAAAAAAAATGTTTATGGGGATGATAGCCAGGGTAAGAAAAAGACAACTTCAGATTACGTAAGTAAAATGAGAAAAGGGGACATGTGACTGTGGGTTTTAATGATTTTCCAACACTGCTGGTAATACTACTCTTATCGACTTTGAAAGCCTTACCAGTTTTTATTGAATATTTGTTGTTAGACCTGTCGACCCCATTCACCAACCCAATAGTAGACACAAGGTCCTTTGCATCAAAGACGACAATTTTTTTTTGCTCTGCCTCATCATGCGCGGGATGGCCTTTGAATAAGGGGAAACGTCATGATTCTTTATAACTTCACCAAAAACGAAGTTCGAGCCTGGAGTACTTTCTTAATATGTAAAGTCAAAAAAGAACAAGCGTTTACACACGTACCAGTTTTCAACAGGCCGAGACATCCAAATTACTTTAAGTGAGCACACATGAATTTAGATTTGCAAAAAAAAAAAAAAAAAAAAAAAAAAAAAAATAGGAGAGTGCCTTGAATCTATCATTTACAAGACTGATGAATCAGTTGCTGTAGAAAATAATCAACGGCGTTGCCAAAAAAAAAGGAATTGAGTCTGAATTTTTTTTTTTCTTATTTAAACAAACTTTGTTTTTTATACCTTTTTATTCTTATTCTTTTTCCTCTTTTCTTTTTCTTCCAGGTTAATGTATGTATATGCGAATAGTTAATGGTATTTGATTCATCATAACCATTTTTAAATTAATTTAGATTTAGTTATGTGACTAATAATAAACGTGTTA